GGAAGATACTAAGTAGTATTTTACAGTTCAATTTATTGATCATAAAGGGATGGAGATTGCATGGAGGTTAACATAGGATAAGAAGAAATTGATAGTATTTTTGGCGAAAGACTTTAACCTTCTTTGCATTAAATTCTGGAAGTTTTCTTGTTGCCGTAAATGGTAAAATCCATAACAAAATCTCAATAATTTGTTGGAATGAATAAAGGTTTTAAATCAAATTTTCATTTTTTTCAAAATTTGATCCACTTTTTAGCTCCCACCCTGACAAGCCATGTGAGCTGTCGGTATCCTGTTGTACCTACCGCCCGTAAACTTTCACATTTCCATCTTTTTACCCAATTCATACGTGACAGGATTGTCATCCTAGTAACCGGTGTTACCAATGTATCGAACATTTTTAGTTTAAAAATTCCACAATACTATATTCATTTTGTGTGTCAATTTGTTTAGACAAAACAAAAAACAAAACTGCAAAAACGTCGAATACAAGAGAGTATTTTTTTTAAATGTCATTATTATCTGTCGATTTCTAGATCTATGCATAGTATTTATTTCAGATGACATGGATTTCATACCCTGGTTACCCTGCTTCCCTTCATATATTCATATTTATCGTCCTTCCCTACGCCTATATCACCCTGCTCAGTCGCTCCGTAATTCTCGTATCACGGCTTTGAGACGAGAGCAGGCATTATCAGCGACGTCACAATGTCTGAGGAGAAGTTATCAGCGACGTCACAATGTGAGAGGAGACGTTATCAAGATTGCTTTCGTCAAGCGTAAAACTGTCTTAAAGAGGGTGAAAAGACCAGTTATAAGACGATAAACAGATAATCGGGTTTTCTTCGTATATATATCGTAAAATATCTGCCGCTCGACACAATGTGAAGCTTTTTCTCTCGTTCGCTGCGCTCACTCGCCAAAAAGGTTCACATTGTGGCTCGCGGTTGATATTTTACGATATCAATGTGTAGAAAACCCGATAATCTATACACATATATAAATAAACAAACTAAAGGCTGCAACTGGTATTTTTGCATTTAAAATGATTCATTGCAACAAGAATATTTGTATTGAATGGAAACTGTGTGGGTCAAAATCTTGTAATGCTGATAAATGTTGCTGGACCAAGTTTCGGCATCTGATCTGAATTTTCTGAAAAGTGCAAGGTAGATAGACATTGGCCTGTTGAATATTTTTACTCGGGTGAGTTTTGCTCTAACCATGCTAACTGCTTGAACTTTTGCGATATAAACTAAAAACTCGAATATAGACAGTGGTCATGTTTGTTGATGAATATTGTTTTTCCTAGATTCACCTAAGAAAATTCATTTGGTGACATTTGGTCAAGCAATTTCAGAGAAGGTTTTTTTTAATTACGGACGCCAAGTCAATAGCTCACACGGCCCCTTGATACAGGTGAGCTTAGAGCGAAACGGGTTGACAACCAGTTGAAATCAAACCAAGTTTTGTAAAGTTTGTATATTTGGATTGTTTAAAACTGTTTTTATGGATTTTAAATGTTAAATGTAGGTGTATAATTTAAGATTTTTTTTGCATCTTATATACTTGTTTATACTCAATTGGTAGTATGAAGCTACGAGATATTGTAATTTTTGCACATTTAACAAAACAGCCGATTTCGGTAGGTGCAAATACTTGTGGGTTTTTAAGATGCATAAGCATAAATTCCACTGGAAAAAAACATGCACGAAAAGATAAAATATTGATCTTAAAAAGCATTAATTTGCATCTCTGCCACCGGCAACAGTATTTTTGTTTGGGGGGGGGGGGGGGGGGGTCTAAAAATGGGCAATTATCTTATCGTAAAGAGACAGTCGAGTACACATTTTACGTTCAAGGCGTGTTTGAGTTGATTGTTTTTTCCTGAAAACGTATATCTGGCTTTAGATTAGATTTTTTCTTTATATTAAGGCTACATGTTAATATAATAATACTGAGAATTCACAGTACTTACTAAAAAATGAAATAAATGGATGAAGTGAAATACCTTTGTAACGAGTCATTACTACAGAGAAGGTGTGTTTGAAACACAAAAATTAAAAGCCTCGTGCTATAACAAATATTTAACTAAAAGTGCATTTCTTAGTCTGGTATTTTTTTTTTTTTCGTTCACTCATTTTTCACTCATTCTCAATTAAAATTTAGGCATATTGTATTTTTAATCAGGAAATATATTTAAAAATAGAAAATTAGGACACATCGTTCACTTACTCCCCCTTAATTCTTTATCAAAAATCCTTGACAACAGACTTTACTTTTGGATCTTTAAAATGCATAACTTAAAAAAATCTTATTTGTGTGTGTGTAATCTAGGTTATCTAGTCTTCATTTTCTGACAAATTCTAGTCTGCCCTTCCATGAAATATTTAAATATTTTTTTTAATGTTTTATTGAACTTTCGAAAATTTTCCCTGACAACCAATCAGACAATAATTTTATGTTGACCAGAGGCTTAAAGGTACAGCAAATGATGCTTAATAGCTACATAGATACATTTTACTTTTAAAGCACAACTTTTAAATTTTACGGGAACCCCCCTTCCCCTCTTGGAAAATGTTTTTATGGGAAAATTATCAACTGCAGTAATACAATCGTTCTTGATCATCTGCATCAAATTATTTTTTATCAACAATTTTAGAATTTCAAATCTATTCCAAGCTTAATAACTTTCACCATGACCTCCCTCTTCCTTATTCCAAAAAAAATCCCGCAATATTATTGTCATCCTTTTAGTAAACACTAAATTGTTTCAAATAAATCTGATTTTAGCTGCTGAGGACACATGATTCTTACGCGCAGAAACAAGGCTGAGATTCATTTGGTTGAATAAAAAGAAAAGTATCTACAGTATCGTACAAATTTGTCAGAGAAACAATATCCAGGATGCTTAGGCTACACTGAATATATTATCTACACTCATCTATGAAATGTTCAGACCCACCTGATAGTTTGCCGTGATCAACTTAGGTTGTGCTTGATTTTCATATGATGAAGACATAATCTTAAATCAGTTTAATTGCGGTCTGGAGCAGACATGGTAGTAGCTGTTAGTAGTCCCTTGTTAATTTATGTATCATTGTCATTTTGCTTAGTTTCTTTAGTTACCTATTCTGATACTTACTCGGACTTCTTTTAAACTGAGTTTTACTGTGCGTATTGCTCTGTGTTTGTTTATTCTACATTGGCTAGAGGTATAGGGGGAGGGTTGAGATCTCACAAAGCATGTTAAACCCCGCCGCATTTTTGCGCCTGTCCCAGGTCAGGAGCCTCTTGCCTTTGTTAGTCTTGTATGTTTTTTAATTTTAGTTCATTTATATGCTATGGAGTTTAGTGTTACGTCCATTTTCATTGAAGTGGTACACATTTTATTTAGGGACCACCTGAAGCCCGCCTCCGGGTGCGGGATTTTCTCGCTGTGTTGAAGACCCATTGGTGTCCGTCGGCTGTTTTCTGCTCTTTGGTTGGGTTGTTGTCGCTGACAAATTCCCCATTTCCATTCTCAACTTTATTAAAAAAAAGTCCTTTATTCTATATGTATGCTCTCCATTTTTATGCAAAACCTTTTACATTTTGATTTTCGGGTCATTGTTGAAGGTCGTATGGTGACGTATAGTTGTTAACACCTAGTTCATTTGGTTTCTGATGGAAATTTGTCCATTGGCAAACATACCAGATAATCTTTTTTATATAGGTATTGGATATTTTACACCATATTTTGATGGTCATGCAAAAGGATCGTAATCCAGCAAATCGTATGCATATTTTCTTATCTCAAAAGGGGGCAAGAGGGGTTCAATTAACAGGTCAATATTTTTTTTATTTTGCTCATATCAGATTACAGTAAATTCAAAATATTGATAACCGATAACAGCATTTTAAATCATCTTAAATAAGAAAACAGTGAATTCAAAAATCAAAAAACAGTAAACAGGGGTATTTTTTTTCATAATAACAGTTCACAACAATGTCAATTTTAAGAAAACAGATAACAGCTAATTAGTCAATAACAGCTAACAGCACAAATATCTTCAAAATAACAGTTAACAAAAGTTTGAAAATGCCAAAACACCTCAACAGAAAGATCTTGCACCCCTCTCAAAAATCAAATAAAAAAAAAAACAGACTCAACTTGGCTCATATGAAATATCCACCAAATATATGCTAGGTATATTTTCTATCAATTATACAAATTTTCTGCATCAATGATCTTGAATATGTGCGCCTTTTAACTAAAATATAAAGGCACAGAACCAGGACATAGGTGCACAGAACCAGGACCGTTTTTCTAATCACCAGCACATCGTCAGGACAATTTCGTTTGGCGAATTTGCACGACTTTTTCAATAAAAAATCGTTGTAATATTCATCGCATGGTACTTAGGAAGTATCAGAGAAAAATTAAGCAACAGAACGGTTGTTTTATTGCCGTTCTGGTACAATGTAAACAAACCCACCAGCACAGAATCAGGACCCACCAGCACCAGTCAGGACCGAATCACCAGCACAGAACGTTCTCTCGCAGGACAACCTTACCCACCGTGGTTATGATCTTTTTATCATATGCTTCAACAATGGAGAAAAATAACAGTTAAATATATTGATCATTTTTATTGTATCATTTGTTTTGCATTTCATATAATATATTTTTCTGTTTCCCAATATTTGTTTTGTACCCTACTTTGTTATGTTTTTCACCGAAAACGTACCATTGAGATGTATTTTCCGGAATTTGCCGAGTAACGCCGGAATGCCATGCAATAACGTTACGGAACGGCATGCGATAATAACCGGAAGCAGTTGATACATTTTTCATACAGCCCGCTTAGCACCATTTCGAAAAATATGGAATTCACGTAAATCTAATGCTATTATCTTCCTGTAAAAATTATAAGTTATTTACTCTAAGTATATGATAAATATAAAAATATCGTATCCAAATAGTTTTCTATTAACATTTCTCTAATATTTTACAGGTGCGTACTACTGTCTTAATATGATACTGATAACGCTGTCAACATTTTTATCAGTGATCGTTGTAAATTTGTACTTCCGGGGTTCCAGAACGGAAGTGCCAAAATGTGTCAAATCGGTAAGTAAATTATAGTATTAACAAATATAAAAATATGGAGATGAGGTATGATTGCCAATGAGACAACTATCCACCAAAGTTCAAATAAAGTGGATGTAAGCAATTACAGGCAATCGTACGGCCTTCAACTATGAGAAAAACCCATAACGCATAGTCGGCTATGAAAGGCCCCTACATGAGTATGGGTATTTATCCATCCCTCATCCCTAACAACAAAAAGGGCACTAAGTACAGATCTAAGAGTACTCGCTGTTACTAACAGCTAGTTCAAAGCCAATAACAACTTATAAAAAAATTATGTATCTAAAACTAATATATCAATCAGTACACATCCAACATCCAATGGATTTAGTTAAAGACTTCATTAACAGAGAAAAACATGACCTTGTGCAATGCCAAAATAAAGGTATCGACAGATTGTAGAACCGTTAAAGTGCATATTTGATAACAAAACAAACTATTTAGTATGATTTTAATTTACTGATAACAAAAACAATATTCAAAGATCTCTAATTACAGTGTTGAATTGGTAACTTTTAGAATAAGTTTATTTAAAGGATTGATAAGTTTACCCGGATCGTATATAAATTTCCGGACTCGGTTAACAACATCACCGTAAAATTTAGGGTGTGCTATTCCGTCTGAAATAAGTTTTTTACTGGTACAGCAAAACTTGCAAACTTAATCTTTGTATCTATGGAAGAATTTAGTAAAGGTTTTAAGTAATTTGTGGTAACGAAATCCCTGACTTAATAACATTGAAATCCAACACGTCACTACAGACACGGGCATAACGAACGAGTTGGGATATATAAACATAAATGGTGCCAGAGGAACATCACCGTCCATTAAGAACATTTTGCGACATTAAAAGCGTTTTGACAACTTTGCTGCTTTGGTTGAACGCTTTAACATCTTATTAAAATATAACAAGCAGTTCATACAAAAATAAGAAGATGTGGTATGATTGCCTTTGAGACAACTCTCCACCAGAGACATAATGACGTAGAAGTTAGCAACTATTGGTCACCGTACAACCTTCAACAATGAGCAAAACCCATACCACAAAGCAAGCTAAAAGGCTACGTCATGCCAAATGTAAACAATTCAAACGAGGAAACTACCGACCCGATTTGGCCATGTCGTTTTGTATAGAAAGGCAACTAATAGACCATTTGATCATCTAGACACGTATAGACCTTAACTTTGGTAATATACATATTGATAGATGAACCACACGCTTCATTAACTGTAATATGGCACGGGGTGTCATGAATTATTTGTTCAGTAAAACCTCAGGCAACGATTCCTATAATAAAAGTATTGCCAACGTATTAATTGTCAATTGTGCATCTGGTGCAGTCAAATTAGTACCGTAAATGTTATAAATATTATACTTATGGCGTTTGCAGTAAAATTGCAAAAATGGCATTCATTTTCTTTTATAAAGATAATGATAACAGTAATGATAATAACAATAGTTGATAAAAAAAGATACTGCAACTTCTGTCAGAATAAACAGATAAAATGAAATATGAACATTAGAAATACCTCACGGTAGAATCAATTTTAGTAATTAACTATCATTGTAGTAGATTCAAAATATTTTTATTCTACTTTATGTTTCAGCTTTTTGTAAACGGATTTGCCAGAATTCTATGTATGAAAGGACAAGTGTCTTACAATTCCTGTTCAACAGATACATCACGAATTACAAATAATATCAATATGAAAAACAGAGAAAAACGATTTAAGTATGACAAAGTGGGTTATTTTGAAACACAGACAGAGGACAGTTGGAAACCAATGCAAAACGGTCTCCAAAATACAGACGACGAACCATGTCCTCCGATTCCAACTAGTATTTCTCAGACTCTTCTGTCGTCTGTAGAGGGAGATGTCAAAGAAATCAGAAACCATTTGCAACGGTGGTCGGATAAAACAGAAGAAAAAGAAATTAAAGAAAGAATAACACGAGAATGGCGAATTGTCGCCCTTGTTTTAGACCGCTTGTTCTTCTGCTTATATTTGCTTGTCATTATTGTATCGATATGCACAGCTTTTCACAGAGCAATTGTCAGTTTATTTAATCAAGAAGAATAACAAAATATACAAAAGGGAAATGGTAATGTCGAGGGACAAAAAACTTGCTCTTTTATAAATACCCAGTCCAAAAGAATTATTTTTTCCTGAAATAAAAAATCTATCTATACACATACATGTATACAAATATACGCGATCGTTTACTAGTAGTTAACACGGTATTCTGTATGCGTCATGCGCGGTGGTATACATTCAAATGACTGTTTACGTTACAATTGATATTAACGTCCAATTAGCATCCAGCAATGCACATAGACGGTATACATAAGCATACTCTTTAAATTTCACGGTTAAAATAACATTGAACATATATCGGTAAGTGTATTGTCCTCGCCAAGAAAAAGCAGAAAATCTCGACGAATATCACTGTTCTTCCTGTTCCTAAAGCTAGTAGAATAGAATATAGTTTGTCTGGTGACGTGTACTGGGGTATTATGTTTAAACATGGTCTTATTCAGTTCATTTAATTCAATTCCAAAAACAACCAGAGTTTTTTCAAATCTAAAATGATGTTTTAATTAGGAACAGAACATTTCAATGTCAAGTTAGGAACAGCACATTTCAATGTCAAGATTAATCCTATTTAACATGTTGGAACGTGTTATCATTGTTAAAAACTGTGGCAATGTTTAAAATAATTAGTTGTACTGTCAACCTAAAATAACAAATGACGTAAAAAACCTAATTTACATGGACGACACAACTATTTAATTTGTAAAGATTATTCTTTAGATAGATCATACCATGGTTAATGAATCTGAAACAGGCAGTAGTTAAAAAAAATCGAATAAATTATATGTTCATTCATTTTCTGCAACCCATAATAAAAAGTACCGAACTCTATAGAAAATTCAAAACGGAAAGTCCCTTATCAAATGGCAAAATCAAAAGCTCAAACACATCAAACGATTAGAAAACAACAGTCATATTCCTGACTTTGTACAGGCATTTCCTTATGTAGAAAATGATGGATTAAACCTGGTTTTAAAGCTAGCTAAACCTTTCACGTGTAAAGACCGGAACTAATTTTATCTTTTTAATTAGTTTGATCTTACAAAATTTTGAAAGTCAATAAACAAGTTTCAAGTCACATCTAATTACTGTTACTAAACTGATTGTTCGAAGCAAACCAAATAACTTAATAAAGTTATATAATTTCATTTTTTTTCATATTACACAAAAAAAGTGAGCATCGAAAATAGCTTATCACAGCCTTTCGTCTGTAGATTGACAATGCATGAAAATGATTCACGTAAACTGTTTCCGTGTTAAAGCTAACATTTTTTTTGGAATCTTAATAGATTTTCATGTTCATATAAGCTTCAAATCTAATACTGTTTGGGTTAAAATAGTAAATTGTACCTATCAAATGCCATATATGTGGTTTACACAATAAAACATTGTATGAAATGATTTGTTAATTTCAATTTGTAATGTTATCATGTAATTTCAGTACCGGGATTTGAGATTTTGTTTGCCGTTTTTACTTTCTCTTGTGTTTTCTGTTTTTTTGTTCTTAACATGTACTTTGCTCGGTGAATTTCGATTTGATCTTTCCTGCTACATGGCTATTTCTAATTTGTTATAGATCAAGAAATACATCATGTTTCATCAAAGGAAAACAATGCTGCTTCATATTGTCCCATATCGAAGTAGATGTATAATACCAAGATGTTTCAATATACACTTAATGTCCTATTTGGTAGGCCAGGACATTCAATACTAAAACATAGATGATACAAAAACAAAAAGTTGAAATGAGAATATAATCAAAAGGAAACACACAAAAATGTGAATATAATATCAAAAGGGAAATACACACAAAAAATAAAACAAAGCAACAGATGAATAAACAATCAAGAATGAACGAATAGAACATCTGACTTTTGAACCTTGAACAATGCTGTATTATTCCCTTTAATTTGTATTGAAGATTCCTGTTTAATTTGGTTTTTTTTCTAGATTTTTTTTTCTTTCGTTCACAGCCTCTACTTCACTTTTATGAAAACGCTGAAATTATTCAGTACATCAGGTGAAAAGATACGAATAATTATTCCACAAAAATGAGATGTGGTGATATGATTACCAATGAGACAACTATCATTAGAGGCCAAAATGAGGTGGAAGTAAACTAACATTGTTATTATATATTTTATATACTTGTAAATGAAAATTCATATTTAAATAACGTATATGATTTCCATGAACCTCGTTTGAGCATCGTTCTCTTTATTTCGGGTTTTGACCGCCCTTTAACAAAGTTGTTTAGGACTGGATGTTATTGGTTTATATTTTATAAAGTCGCATGAATGTGATTGTCCAATATGACTGTAAGATTGATAAAAAAAATCCCAACAAAAATCATGAAGATTTGATACCATGAAAAAAAACCAGACAATAGGCATACTACAAAACATTGATACTACTAGGACTAACAGGAATATATACGTAAACGATAATGGTTACATATTTAAATGTTTTATTTGCTAATGGTAATCGTGTATATTCATTTTGTCTGAGGTAGAATTTCTTCGCCTTTGAATCCTTAAAGACATTGGAAGATTTTGTTTTAACGCAATCAAGCTAACATCATGTCATGATGTTTAAATGATTTAGTTGTATATATATTCTTTTTAATAGACATTACCAATTAAACTGTCAAGTTACATATGTTTACAGACGCTATAATGAAAGTGTAAGTGACATTTCTTAAGAGGTCTTCTGAAAATTAAAAAAAAAAATAAGCGAGATTGTTTGCTTCAATACACATCAAAGTGGAGAATTTAAATCTGATAATAATTATAGTGTAAAACAATAATTGAAGCAATGATTTCGCTACCACAGGGCTAAACTAATTATATATCTTTCATATATATTTAGACACTCTAATCTAGTGATCAGAAGCAAAAAGCTTTTAATGTAGAACAATTAAACAAATGTGTTTATACAAAGCTTTTCCTGGGATACAGATGGTTAAATTTACATACTATGTTTAGAAATATTTCTAATGAAAGTAGTCATGTTAATTCATTCTTAAAACCATACCAAATACTTAAAAAAAAATCGTTGTTCACTTATACCCAGGAAAACCACGAAAATTGGTACCACACGAATAATAATGAATCTACAGTAGGATATAACAGTTTGACTAGAAATGAATCGAGACCGACTGCTAGTCACCGATGGTATCATAAGATCGGTAGTCAGTGTTTATCCTTGATATGATTTATAACATACCTTTCCGTTGATAAAATAGAGGCAACATATATTGCAGGAATATTCAAACTCATATGTCGAAAACAAACTGACAATACAATGGCAAAAAAACGTATAACGACCAAAAGACAAACAACAGTACACAGTACAAAACATAGAAAACTAAAGACTGAGCAACACGAACACCACCAAAACTGGAAGTGATCTTAAGTACATCGGAAGGGTAAGCAGATCCTGTTCCACATGTGGCACCCGTTGTGTTGCTCATGTAAGTACAAACCCGGTGATACGTATAATTCGGTAGGCCACATTCGAGGAAAAGAGATCAACATTAGTATAGATTACTGTTGTTGCTACTATGCAAGGCGTGTATAATTGTGATGTTACTCATTATCCCGTTATTCAGAAAGTAAAATAACAAAAATACCCAACTCCAAGGAAAATTCAAAACGGAAAGTCCCTTATCAAATTACAAAATCAGAAGCTCAAACACATCAAACGAATGGAAAACAATTGTCATATTCCTGACTTGGTACAGGCATTTCAAGAGTCACACAAGACAACTCTGTTCAATAAGAGACATCAATAGTTTGACGATGTTCAAATCTCGTAAATCCTTTATATACACCTAAAGATGAAAAACAAAAACCAAGGGAATAGGACACAATCGGGACATTTACAGATGACTAATCTGGTATCTAAAGATCAAAATCCGTGATAACATATCGTTTTGAGTTGAGAAACAGACATATCGTATCGGTCAACCAATTCGTAAAGTAGACCGTAAAATTTATGAAGTGTCGTTTTCGTCATAAACAATAACCCATAATTTTCGTAATTAGCAAAATGTTCAAGTCCGACTAGAGATTCTACCTTGATTTTTGAGAGAGAAAAAAAAAGCAAAACATGTATATACATGAATGTATAGAACGCAGATTTATCCTGCAAACTGGAAAGGGTTGACAGATCTGAAAATGTAGCATACTATAATACTCACCAAGGTGACGTTTTGTACCAACAATCAAAAAGCTTTGACATGTAGGTGCTATTATTAACTCAGAGCATATGTCTGATACTCTTTGGTGTTCATCAATGTAAATAACATACATAGAATTGAGAATGGAAACGGGGAATGTGTCAAAGAGACAACAATCCGACCAAAGAGCATAAAACAGCCCAATGCCACCAATTGGTCTCAACGCAGCGAGAAAAACCCGCACCCGGAGGCGGGCTTCAGCTGGCCCCTAAGCAATAATGTATACCAGTTCAGCAAAATGGACGCCACACTAAACTCCGAAACATATAAATGAACTAAAATTAAAAAATACACAAGATTAACAAAGGCTAGAGGTTCCTGACTTGGGACAGGCGCAAAAATGAGGCGGGGTTATAATTTTTTTTAGATCTCAACCCTCCCCCTATACTTCTAGCCAATGTAGAATAAACAAACCTTCAACAATACGCACAGTTTAAAAAGTCCGAGTCCGATGTTAGAATAAGTAACAGAAGAAACTAAGCAAAATGACAATGATCAGCATTAATTAACAAAGGACTACTATCAGCTACCGGCATGCTAGCTCCCGATCTCAATCAAACTGATCGAAAGATTATGTCTTCATCCGCAATCCCTCCTGTTAGGAGAAATTATACCAGAAGAACATAACCCGTATCATGCCAACAACTGGTTGTAAAATAAATGTGTTGATTTCCGATGCAAAGACCTTATGATTGAATCAATATTAATTCCAAAAATGTCATCTTTAATGACTTGACAACAGTAACTATATCCCTTCTGAAAAAGTCTGTTTAAAGGTTTGGTAAGCTTTTGAGGTGAATGACGACATTTTTTGTGCTTTGTATAGAAAATTATCATAAAAGATGGGATGTGAAATACCAGAACGTACACGATGTCTGCACGTTGATTTATATTTACAAATGATGTCCTTGTACCGATGATAGAATTTAGTAAAAGTTTTGACAAGTTTGTGATATCGAAAACCCTTGTGTAATAATTTTTCAGTAATACAGAGATTTCTTTCGTTAAAATCAAATACGTTCTTACATACACGAACGAATCGAACATGTTTAGATATATAAACACCATAAGATGCTGCCAAGGGAATGTTACCATCTGAAAACAGATAATTAACAAATAGGAAATGAAAAAATCATCTCTTTTATCGTAAATCTGGGTATTAAGCTTCTCATTAAAGATATAGATATCAAGAATCAGGAAAGGGCAGTGTTCATTGTTAGTATTATCTTTATTCAAAGTAAGTTCGATAGGATAAATCTCGTTAGTGTACATACTGAAGTCGTCATTATTGAGAGCCAAAATATCATTCAAATATCTAAAAGTATTATTAAATATTTGTATAAGATGTTATTTCGATGAGGCTTTGCTGACATACATTGTGATTCATAATAACACAGAAACAGGTCCGCAATAAGTGGTGCACAGTTGGAATTCCGATGACATTGCGATATACGGAATCTCCATAGCGAACAAAAATGTTATCTAGTAAAAAATCAAGTGCAGTTATCTTATCAAAGCATCTTTAATGACTTGACTATAGTGATTATATCCCTTCTGAATAAGTCTGTTTAAAGGTTTGATAAGCTTTTGAGGTGAATGACGACATTTTTGTGCTTTGTAAAGAATATTACCATAAAAGATGGGATGTAAAATACCAGAACGTACACGATGTCTGCACGTTGATTTTTATTTACGAATCGTGTCCTTGTGCCGATGATAAAATTTAGTAAAAGTTTTAACAAGTTTTTGATATCTAAAACTCTTGTGTAATAATTTTTCAGTAATAGAGATTTCTTTCGTTAAAATCAAATACGTTCTTACATACACGAACGAATCGAACATGTTTAAATATATAAACACCATAAGATGCTGCCAAGGGAACGTTACCATCTAAAACAGATAATTAACAATAGGAAATGAAAAAACATCTCTTTTATCGTAAATCTGGGTATTAAGCTTCTCATTAAAAATATAGATATCAAGAATCAGGAAAGGGCAGTGTTCATTGTTAGTATTAGCTTTATTCAAAGTAAGTTCGATAGGATAAATCTCTTTAGTGTACCTACTGAAGTCGTCATTATTGAGAGCCAAAATATTCAAATATCTAAAAGTATTATTAGATTTTTGTATCAGATGTTATTTCGATGAGGCTTTGCTGACA